TTCTAAGAGAGGGGAGCAGCCAGTGCCTCAATCGCCAGGGAGACTAAAGGGGGAGGAGAGATTAAGAGAAATTGAGTAATTGAATGTAAAAAGGTATGGGACTTAGAAAATCTTTTGGTTTTGCATTTAAGCTGTGAATAATTGCTTCCATTGCGTAGACTTTTACCATGAGATTGTTGTTGGGTAGGGGAAATCAGATCAGCAGAATGATTAGTAAGAGAAAGGCCTTTAGCAAATTAGAGGCAGTGTGCTGCTCTCCTCTCATAGAGGGGGTCCAAATTACAAAGAGTTCTAGCATGTTCATAGGTCTGATAGTTCTTTCCTAAAATAATGGTGACAGGTCTTATGTATCCTGTATAAATAGCACAAAGTTCAACTGTGCTCAGTCATACTGTATTTTTCAGCTTTTAGTTGGTATTCTTAAGGAAGTGAGCAGCCAGAGGCCATGTACTGCAATAATGCTGCTGTCTTCAGGTATGGATAGGTTATCCTGCTACACCCTAGTGCCAAAGGTATGTGGAATTGAACTTTAAACTTGGTTTCCGTACAATCGCTACACTTTCGCTACAAGTGCATATCTTTGCACTGCGTAGCTGTCCCTGGGAATGCTCCTTGATTCAACTGACCAATCAGCGTCGCTAAAGGAATCGGCGGTAGCATGTAGCAATTTTTATGGAAACCAGACTGTTATTAAAACACAGCAATAAATTTTGTAGAGGAAAAAATAAGAACATACTGTACATGGATTAATAGTATAAAAAATTGTTATGAAAAATTAAGCATAGTAAAGAGAATACAAAATGCATATATTAAAATATTTTAGAATAAATGATATTACATCATATAATATTAGATAATATGATCATGACCATGATCTTCACAAAACAACTCTATACCTTTAAACTAAAACACAGCAATAAATGTTGTATTGGAAAAAATAAAAATGTACCTGGATGATTGGTATAAAAAATTGTCTATGAAAAAAAAAACATAGTAAAGAGAATACAAAATGAATATATTAAAATATATTAGAATAAATTATACTACATCATATAATATTAAGACAACTTTAATTGAACGATTGAAATAGAAAATGTTCAATAAGATAAATAATACATAAGCATACGCCATTTGCCAAAAAAAAATCAGAAATTTCCTAAAAAATTTTAATTTAAAATCTTGAATAACTCTACCAAAAGAATCAAATATGTAATCTCCCAACCAAACCAAAAAAAAAAAAAAGCTTTTGTTGATTCGTGGTCATTTTTCACAACACTTTTTCGTTCTACTGAAAAGTACTTTTAGTTGAAGAGAGTTATGGTCGATGCAAATACTGTATAACATTCTATATTCAAACACTGTTTGTATACACGTTTCCCTCCAATTAGAGCCAACTTCTGGGGTCCACGGTTGCCATGGTCTTTTAGCAGCTTTTGTCTCTAACTAGAATCATAAAGATAAACAGAATTTTTCGAAGGTAAAGGAAAAATATAGTTTTGTGTATATAAGCGGCTAGGCTTTATATGTTTACCAGATGTTTCGTAAGGCCGAGGGCCTGGTAATTCAGCTAACTTGACAGATAACCCTTGAGTTATTCGCCGCTAAGGACACAAAAGACATTTCTTTAATTTGGGACCACAGAAAAGTGGTCTTTAATTTGAGGGAGACCTATATTTATTTATGTGTTGTCTACACAAACGTAATTACATTCACCGCTTAGGACACAAAAGACATTTTGTTAATTTGGGACCACAGAAGAGTGGTCTTTAATTGGATGAGTCTTTAATTAGAGGGAGAACTATATTTATGTGTTGTCTACACAAACATAATTAGAATAATACTATTACTGTATTATTATATTTCATGCTACAGTGATAATTTAGTCAGAAAAGGGATAATAAAATGAAAGAGTGAGAAAATCACATTGTTGACTAATCAAATATTAAATGAAATAAATTTATTCTATTTTTTATTTAAGTATACTGAAATAAAGTACAATATTACAAAAACAGAATAACACTTCAGCACCTCATAATAAGCTGTTGAAGCTGTTTACATTGACTTTTGTTTCTTTGACAGGAATTGATCCAAGTGGGTGTCAAGGCAAATGAGTGGGCACTTGCAGTAAACCATCTGATTAATGGTAAAGGTGGTGGTACAGAATCGTTATGTTGTTACCAAGGAAACATGTTCCCAATTGATCAAATCATAGCAGCAGCAGAACATTTTGTATCTAGCAAAGTTGCCAGAGTGAGTGACCTCTGAAAGCCACCCAAAGAGGGAGCTAGCCAATACTATGAACCTATGAAAATTAATATCTGTATCATGACGACTCTGACATATGGCTATTGTTTTTCTCAGCCACAGTGCATAGAGACTATGTATTATGTGCTATACAAGTCCCCAACCTCTACCATTACTATTTACTTATGCCGAATTACCTGTGCGTACACGGTAGTGATGGCTACGCCCTCTTAAAATTGGAGGTGTGCACCTTCTTCCTCCCCTTCACGTTCGTGGATGTTCATTTATTAAGTTTTTGTTTCTTTGTGGCTAAAAGCGCTTTGTTTCCAGTTTCTACTGTGACACTATACAAGTACATGACCATTAGCCATTACAGTTGGCACTAGTTATTGAAAGAACGAGAGAGTGCTATGGTGAATATAATCTGGGAGATTAATGCTAAGCAAACCAAAATATACTACTCAGGATGACAAATTTCAGAAACTGAACACATTACAATTTCATAAGGCCAAAAAAAAAAAAATTGTTGTGTTGTCCTTAAATGGAAAAAAAAAAATCTATTTTTTGGGTTTTTTTTCCTAAGGCCTCGTAGCTAATATGTCTAAATGTTAGGCAACACTTTCTCAATATTATATCAACGTCACATATACAATAGACTATGAGTTCGTGATTTAGTATTCATATTTCTTTTGATTTCCGAGTGAGGAAATCATCCCTAGCCGGTACATCTTATCGGAATCGTACATAATCCTTATTTTGTATGGTATTGAACCTATGGGGAAAGTAACCTTTTTCAGTTCATTAATACCGAATGTTTTAGCTAATTTTGATAGGGGCATAGGCAAAAAAGAAAGCAAATCATTAAATCGAATCGAGGTATCCTTTTCTTTGACTGAAATTAACTTTCCGTCCCTAAAAACAACTTCCGGAAAAACGCCGTAAGAGTGTAAGAACTGAATAATGAAATAATTATCATAACCCTGAAAATTATTGGCAATACATATTACATTTTGATTGTAAGAATACTACTTTAAATAAGTATTCACAAAACTGAAAACAGGCATCCTCCCCGTCAAAAATGTTGGTTTTATCCTCGCAAATTCGCATTGATCAGAATCTTGATCATCGTTAATACAATTTAAACAGCTTTTTTGAAGTATAAATTTGGATTGTGAACCCCACTCTGTACATTCAAAATCAAAAAAGATATTTTTCCACATTGTTAACCACCTTTTCATGTAACAAAGACGACAAGTCTCTGTCATCCTTCTGCAAACTCTACATATTCCTTACAATTATGATCTTTCTTAATATAGCGATTACAATTTCTACATAGTTTTTTGCTATCGCAAACAGTAGTATTACCTTTTTTGATTATCAAAACATTTAATTTTAAATGAGCGTAAGCCGTCATTACATTCGACAACGGTAGATGGGTCTACAGAAGGGATACACTAGTGAGAATGCATACCGTAACTCGCATAAAAATTTACAGTTATGTTCATATTTATGATTATAACCCTTGAAACAATTAAAGATTACAAAAAAAATAAATAAATAACTTCTAAAAAGGCTGTAAGTTTTGTTATCAAATTACAGTGATTATCGTGGTGATGTGTTTTGCTTTATGATCCTCACTAAAATTACTGAGTGAAGATTTTCCCGAGAAATCACAATGATTTGATAATCAGATAGAACATGTTGAAATTGTTTGAGCTCATTTATCCCACAAAGACCATTATCTACCCCAGCCCTCAATAACAATTGTTCAGCCGCTTCTTTCTGAAGACATCTACCCTTTTTAACGTTTTCCCACCTAGATTTTCATCATCTGCATCTTTAATACGAATTAAACATCTACCATCCCAACATTCTTATCTATACCCCTTTTTTTAAACGATTACCACCACCACCACTAGGCATACAGTAGGAATATGTAAAATGTTGAATTGCAAATCGTCCCCAACTAAAATATTCATATGAGATTGGAGAACTTTTGAAATAGTCTAAATGGTAAGGAAATTGGGATATCTAAACAATTCGCCCTAATAACTGATCTTATATACGATTGTACGTTTTCCAAAACACTATCTAAAACATAATAACAAATTCCGTAAATCGTCAGTAAAATTTCAATGACCCTAACATGTTCTAAGCCTGCTAAAGCGAACATGTTAAATTCCTTATTAAACTTATATTTAAGTTTCCGAATAATAGATAGCTCTCTAACGTACATGTTGTCTAAATCCCTTTACTCGCCCTCATTGCCATCCTCTTCGTCATCAGAATTTGTTAATCGTTTAACACCACGAATAGACTGAAAAACAAAAAAAAATTATATTTAAACCCTGATAATTAATCAAAAGCAGAACATTATTTACCAATTTTTTAACGTGTTTCCCCGATCCCATTTTCATAGTTTTCTTCGTCTTCATGTTCATCTTCATACATCATCTTCTTAAGTTTACCTTGGCCAAGCTGCCGTCTCGCATTGTTTATTACCATCATTATTTAATAATTTGCTATATGCTTTGCTAAGCCTATGTCTCTGAATTTCAAATACTGTATGTTCACAGCAAAACGTATTTTATCATCAGTATCTCCGTTTTCCTCCTCTTCTTCATCGAGATCGTTTAAAAATTCGAACTGTAATAACATTAAAAAAATAATTTCGTACAAAAAAATATATTTAATTGGAAGTTTTAAAGGTAAAAATGTAAATTAAATTGTAACACTTACTGTTACTTAGCATCATCTAACTGCTCTTCGTTAGATCTCCTGTTGTCTTTTCAATTCTTCAAGAAATCAATCTGAAAAAAGTAAATGTGTTAATAAAATATTCTGAAATCAAAATAATTCTACCACGAAAAAATAAATAAATAAATAGGTATAAAAAATATGAACAACTTACCATTTCATTCTTATGGTTTAGAAACTCTAACAGAAAGCCCTCGTAAGCGTCGAGATCCCAGTTCTTGACCTGAACAGTTTCCATGTGAATCTTCGTGGAAACTTCGTTAAATAAACACTTAATTTAATGAAGTTGAAACAACTTAACTATGTTCTTACCCTAAATTTTCTACTAAATGTAGGCCTATAGAACAGGCATAGAAATGTTACATGACGTCAGAAACGGGTTAATAAAACTTGTACAAACCACTGGAAGTCACTGATATCTCTGAACCAGTACAAATCTTGTTTTATATGAACCGATAACAATCGTCCTTTCCTCTTTGTTACAGACGTCAAAATTGTATTCACATAAGCCCGGGCTATTCAAATAATAAGTCACCGTTAGTCACTGATATCTCTAACCTAATTATCATCATGTTTTGTTTTGTTTTCAAGTGCATTGTTCTAAAACACACCTACAAATCTTTACCGGGCTCCTCTGAATCTGTCTGTTCAATGTAACACTTGACATAGCTTATCATTTTGTTTTACAAATGACTAATTCCTGATGTCAAGCGCAAGATTTTTTTATTCGAAAGATTTTTTTTTATTCAATACATTTTTGACAACATATAACACATTAACTACAGTATCATGCTTTCCGTAGTTTACCTACAAAAATGCCTAATTAAGTATCTTATTGCTATTTGGTTGCTCAACTCTAGGAACTTGTAATGTTCGTTAGAAAATGAAAAAAAAAATCTATATTTTATAATAACAATAATAGGTCAATTTATAAGGCGCAAATAAACAAGGTCTCTCAACACCAAATAATAATAATAATAATAATAATAATAATAATAATAACAACAACAACAACAACAGCAGCAGCAGCAGCAGCAGCAGCAGCAGCAGCAGCAGCAGCAGCAGCAGCAGCAGCAGCAGCAGCAGCAGCAACAGCAGCAACAGCAGCAACAACAGCAACAACAGCAACAACAGCGACAACAACAAAACAACAGCGACAACAACAATAATAATAATAATGATAATAATAATAAATATTAAAATAATAATAATAATAATAATAATAATAAAATAATAATGATAATAAAAAACAATAATGATGATGATGATGATGATGGATGATGATGATGATAGATGATGATGGTGGATAAGGATGATGGATGATGATGATGTTGGTTGATGATGATGATGGATGATGATGATTTATGATGATGATTGATGGATGATGATGATGATTGATAATGACGAATGATGATAATGAATGATAATGATGGATGATAGATGATGAGGAGGAGCAAAATTAACCAGACAAGTTTTTAGCTCCGATGAGGAGCTCTGTGAGTACTCTCTTGCTGATTAATAGATCAGTTTTGTATGGGAGGCCGCGGCAGTTAGAACCACTAGAATCACTCGGCTGATTGATTATTGTAAATGATCGTTTTTATATGGGCAGACGTTAGGGCCACTAGAATCTTATCGGAGCTTTCGGGATTACGAGAACTTGTTAAACAACAAATTAAGAATTAACAGACATAAATAACTATATCATACTTAACAAAATTATCTCATACTAAAGAAGGTAAATGAAAATGTTTTCATAGAATTTATAAGGTCCATGGTTTGCACATTCCCGCTATTTTCATACATTCATCTGATATGTATGAACACAACTACGACACATTAAATTTAAAACATGGACACGGTAAACGCATAATTAACTGACTTTTATTAACGTAAATTTATTCAATATGATTTTTTCCACTCTAGTATTTATCACATATTTTATTGGCAATTTCATGTTTTAAATATAAATTTACCCCTCTAGGGGGCACCCTCTATCCCCTTAGCATCTATGACCGGATGTTCGATAACTACGATGCTGACACGAATCGTCCTAATCGATTCTTAGTCCAAAAGCATTAGTGTTTAACCTGGAAATTTCTCATAAAAAGCTAAATTTGTCAGGATAGGTCCAAAATTATGAGTAAAATAACATACTAAAAGTCCTGAAAAATCCTACTGGAGCTTTCCGCAAAATCCAAGATGGCGTCCAAAATGGCCGCCATTTTTATATTATGTTATAACTTCGCAGCCAGACAAGTTGGAAGCACAAATAAAGTGTCTAAATATATGTTATAAGGTACAAGGAATACAATAAAACCGTTATCTGGAGTGTCCAAATCTTATATGTACCACAAAACCAAGATGGCGTCCAAAATGGCCACCATTTTAAAATTTTACAATATTTTTGCAACCATAGGCCTATAAGTTGGAAGTGTCTAAATATATGTTTTAAGGTACAAGGAATATAATCAAACCATAATCTGTACCCCATAGCCAATATGGCGCCCAAAATGGCCGCCATTTTGAAATGTTACACTATTGCAAGCTGGTTAGAACCCAGAAATTTGTAAAGCAAATTGAAGTGTTTAAACATATTTTAAGGTACAAGGAATGCAATATAATCATTATCTAGAAGGTCTAAATCTTATATAGTTAGTACCACAAAACTAAGATAGCGTCCAAAATCCGCCATTCTCAAAAGGTATTGTAGCAACCGGACAATTTGGAAACACAATTGAAGTCAATTACATTCATCATCTGTTACAGTATTTTCAACACTTATGCACTGTTGGTACAATATCATTGTATCATTATTGACATATGTTGGTAAAGTCAGTGGCGTTTGACCACAATATCTATTGCGCATTTAGGTGAAAAAGAGTGCAAGATTCTTGCAACTAAATGTGATGTTGGTAAAACCATCTTGTTTGTACCTACATGACACCCTTTAGAAAAGTGTCAGGCGCAACATGATTCTATTGATCCAACCAATATGGAACTGAGATTCTGCGGCTCGAATGACGACTTTGCTGCAGCAGTAGTTGGAGGCAGATTTTTCAACCTGAAATTATAAACGTCGATAAGGGGGGGGGGGGTCAAATCCTGTTGATGCAGTTGTTTCAATTTTCTGGCTCCATAAGGTTCAGAAAAAAGTTTCCCCAGCTCTTTCAATCATCAAGTTGCCTTTAGTGTTGGATTTCGAACATTTAATAGTTAAAGGATTGCTGGGCCATTGCATCCATGTATTTATGGTTTAAAATCCTCTAATATGGCAAATGGGGCAGCTGACTCTCGATGATAAGTTGTGGTTAAGCTGCTGCCCCAGACCAAAATGTGTTAAACTTTACCTATTGTAAATGTATATTTGTCGAATAAATAAATGAAATGAAATATACCAGTGTCTGCACCGACGACAAATATCCAAATAGAAGTTCTTGTCTGTACTATGAGATAACACGGTTGGAATATGACATAGAATACTCTCCATTTCTTTTGTCACTTCAATTAATAGATTAGCCTTGGGAAATGACAGTACTAGACTCCTTCCAGGTTATTGGCTATTTTTTGGAACCAGCCTTATACCTTACATTGAGTGGCTTCATGGTGGCCTTTCAAAGATCCTAAATAGAATCTCTGCCATGGATTCAGCAGAATCTGCATCAGAATCAGAATCTGCATCAGGTATGTTAGGATTGTAGGTTCACTTAAATAAAGGGAAACTACGCCAGTATCAACTCAACCATGAAGTAACTTTATTCAGCAACGTGAACAACGACACACCGAGAAGGGTCGTCTGCGACACGGTCTCTCGATCCAGTCACTATAGATCAATTCTAACATATTGCGCAATACGCAATAATAGTGTTATAACACCCCGCCCGACTTAGCTATAAACCTATCAAACATGTTCACACACAAGTGTGTAACTTCTTTGTTCAAAATCAACAACAGATTAAACATTTTCATAAACCAAAAAAAAAAACAAAACAATGCCCAAACTGTCCTCATTTGTTTCCAAACAAAGTTCCACCCTCATATTTCCTCAATGAGTCTTCTTAGTGGTTTAATATTACGCTTAGGGCGATCGGCTCTCTGTTGTGGGCGTTGTGCGTTTTCTGTGCGCTGTGTGTCGCTATCCTGATTTGCTTCCAAATTAACTGGTACAGCTTCCTTGTCAGTGGTACATGTCACCATGTAACAACGTATCGCGTAACTGATCGACGTGACGCCTCCACACTTCACCATCTATGCCCACCTTATATATGACAGGGGACCTGTTTGGGCAATGATTGTACCAGTTGACCATTTGTGAGTGTTATTTCGATAGTCCCTGACCATTACCTTCCCTCCATCGCGAAACTGACGGGCAGCTTCCTTTTGACGCGTCATCTTCTGCTGCCTGCCTCTTACTAACTGGCTTAAGTTTGGCTTTATTAGACTCAGCCTCGTTCTAAGATCACATCCCATAAATAGCTGGCAAGGTGCGACATTTGTAGTCATGTGCGATGTAATGCGATAATATAGTAAGAAATTGCTCTAGCGCTTGTCGATGCTTCCTGAGCCAATGGAATGGCGCTGCTTTAGGATTACCTTTAGTGAGTTGGCATCCTACACATTGCTTGGTCAGTTTTCAATTTCTGCATCAGTACCTGGAAACCAAAAGTAACTGCGGACCAGCGCTTTCATTTTTACGACCCCTCCATGGCATTCGTATAACTAGCATAAATCTCTGCAATTTACTTGGTATAATCACTCAATCCCCACATTAGACAGCCTTCGTGAACCGTTATCTCGGTTTGCCTACTCATATAAGGTGAGAGGTTTGGCAGTTTCCCCAGCTCAACCTTCCACCCATTCATTACTGCTTCAACAATAATTGCTATTGTTGGGTCGCGCTGCGTAGCTTGTCTGATCTCTTTAACCATTATTGGTAGCGTCTCAAATTGCTGCGCCAACATTAGTAAGTCCGCCATGTCCTCGCTTTCGGTGCTTTCTGTGACTACTGGTACTCGCGATCAGGGTTGCCAGATAGTCGACAGGCTTCATGGCCAAACACACGCCATCTCACGGCCAAATTCGGCCAAAACTTTTTTTCGATATCGGCCAAAATTCGGCCAGGTTTTAATCCGATTAGAAGACAACAGTGGGTACATTCATTTGAAATACTACAAAAATGACACGAAAATCAGCGGTCATTCGTTTGAAATTGATGAAATTCAAATGATATACACAAAACAATGTTAAAAATAAATCGCCTATGTTCTTTAGTTGCTGGCATGTAAGGTAATTCAGGGCATAGGCGTAGATCCCGGGGGGGATGGAGGGGATATATCCCCCCAATATTTGACAAGGGGGGATGGTCCATTGTATCATCCCCCCAATATTTTGACTATGTATGGGATAAAATGGAGCTTTACACACTTCAAAAGCTGTCTCTCTTCAAAAGACTGTCACAGAAATAATTTGCACTGTCTTATGCGCTTACAAAGATGAAAATTAGCATAATGTATTAATGTTGATAACAAAATTATTTTATCTGGTACCAATCTAAACTCTTCTTTCCTTAGATGTTAGATGTGCTTGCAAAGAGAGCCACATTTCACACTGAATGGTGTGTACGACATCAGTCATGTTATATTAATTCCAAGAATGTTTAAGGTTATATCGGTTGATGAGGAATTTATTGATTAGGCCTATAACAGCAAATTGTATCAATTTATTTTGCAAAAACAAGGTTTCCAGCTTCAGAGGGGGTCACATCC